TCGGGAAGATCAATGCCAAGAGGTTTGGTCAAGGACCAGCTGGTAGAAAAGATCCTCATTATTCCAGTCGACCCAGCTGTAAATGGGTACAGATAATCTGGGAAAGATCAATGCCAAGAGGTTTGGTCAAGGACCAGCTGGTAGACAGGATCCTCATTATTCCAGTCAAACCAGCTGTAAATGGGTACAGATAATCCAGGAAAGATCAATGCCAAGAGGTTTGGTCAAGAACCAGCTGGTAAAAGGATCCTCATTATTCCAGTCGACCCAGCTGTAAATGGGTACAGATAATCCAGGAAAGATCAATGCCAAGAGGTTTGGTCAAGGACCAGCTGGTAGACAGGATCCTCATTATTCCAGTCAAACCAGCTGTAAATGGGTACAGATAATCTGGGAAAGATCAATGCCAAGAGGTTTGGTCAAGAACCAGCTGGTAGAAAGGATCCTCATTATTCCAGTCGACCCAGCTGTAAATGGGTACAGATAATCCAGGAAAGATCAATGCCAAGAGGTTTGGTCAAGGACCAGCTGGTAGACAGGATCCTCATTATTCCAGTCAACCCAGCTGTAAATGGGTACAGATAATCCAGGAAAGATCAATGCCAAGAGGTTTGGTCAAGAACCAGCTGGTAAAAGGATCCTCATTATTCCAGTCGACCCAGCTGTAAATGGGTACAGATAATCCAGGAAAGATCAATACCAAGAGGTTTGGTCAAGAACCAGCTGGTAAAAGGATCCTCATTATTCCAGTCGACCCAGCTGTAAATGGGTACAGATAATCCAGGAAAGATCAATGCCAAGAGGTTTGGTCAAGGACCAGCTGAGCCGAAGGTCATTTCTATTTTGATATAATTTTGATAGGGGTTTATAGCAAACATCGGAAGCACTGGCTCTGGCATAAGAATATTCTTACTTAGAGTAGGATTTGAACCCATGGCACCTTAATTTTCAGGGTAAAACAATCTGAACTTATCTCATGTTCCCTGTTTTGTCTTTTCAGTGTAGAAAAACCGGTTCTCCTCTGAACAAGCACTATAAAATCTACTCACTAGCCCAGTGTAAGTCATGTGGTACAAGAGTCACCAAGACCAAGATGGGTGACGATAGCAGTAGAGTCACCTATTTCTGTCACATCTGTCAAACAGAAGATGTCACCAAGCTGGATAACTTGTAAGTAATCCATCCATTAAAGGGATTGTAAAGAGTTTTTCTAAATTTTTTATGTGTATCAGGGACACTGATAGAATCAATTTACACCATTCTAATTTTCAATCAGACGTCTGTGGTTCCTGCAATTCCACTAAAACTAAGCGTTTTATGACGTCACTTTTGCAAAAGTGATGCTATCAGTGTCCCCAATACACAAACATATTTTAGAAAACCTCTTAACAAGTATGTTTTTGAAATAAAATGGCACTTTACATCAAATTTTCTGCATCTTTATCAGGCTTTTGGAGTAAAAAGAAACACCATTCTTTGATGGGCATACAAATTGAAAACCAGTTGAAAAAAATGTCCAAACAAATTTTTTGTCTTTTTCAGGACCTTGCCCAGTAAAAACAGTCTTCTAAATTGGGTTCAATCATCAAATGCAAAGATTGAGACCCAAGAATCTAATTGGTCCTGCCAAACTTGTACTCTATTGAATTCAGCCAATCGAATCACTTGTGAAGTGTGTGGTGGACCTAAAAGCAACCAATCAAAAACAAGTTCACAAAATTCAGAAATCATTCAACTAACTGACAATCGTGAAAACTTGTTCACTTTTGTGAAAGAGACCAAACTTTTAGAAACGTCTTTGAACTCTTGTACGAATATTTCCAAACCAAACCCTTTTGCTTTGATGGACACGACTGGAAAAAATTTTCAAAATGACATTTCCCATGACCTTAAAAGCTCAAAATCAATCTCGAAGCCTAAAATCTCCGAAATTGTGGTTAAATCTCGGAAAAGGACCTCAAGTGAATTTCATGATACTCAAAATGACAATAAAAGAGCCAGAACAAACCAGTCTGAACTGGATCAAAGTGACACAAACTGGAAATTTCCAAATTGTTCCGGTCATAAGCAGAAATGTGGTTTGTGGCAGACACACAAGCCTGGTCCCAATAACAGAAGATGGTTCTTTACTTGTGCCCTTAAAGGCAAGCAGAAATGCAACCATTTTGAGGTGAGTTTGTTAAATTTTTCAGCAAAAAAAGCTGCTGTGTGGAAAAATCCAAGTTAAATTAACTTTGAGGTTTGTTTTTTGTAAGTGGGAGAATTTCCTTGGAATATTTTGATTGTGACATCATAAAAATAAAGTTTTAGTGGAATTGCAGGAACCACAGACGTCTGATTGAAAATTAGAATGGTGTAAATTGGTGCTATCAGTGTCCACGATACACATACAAAATTTAGCAAACCTCTTTACAATTCCTTTAAGGTGTACTTTTTAAACCAATGTGGCGCTGGTGCCAATTTTCCCTTCCTCAGTCCTCAATAACTGGATGTCTTCATTATGTTTTCCAGTGGGCTGATATATATTTTCCATGCTGTCCTGGACACAATAAAACCTGTTCTATAAATACTGTTCTGAAAGTTGGCGCCAATAATGGTAGGAAATTCTTCAGCTGTGCCCAATCCAGGAAGGAGCAATGTCAATTCTTCGAATGGGCAGAAGGATTTGGTGGAGTAGCTGTGGCTAGATGATCTTGGGAGACTAAGATGCTAGTACTTTGCCAATCGTTAGCTCTGCTCAATCCTGGAAGTAATAGCATCGGTTCTTCGAATGGGCAGAAGGATTTGGTGGAGTTCCTGTGGCTAGATGATCTTGGGAGACTAAGATGCTAGTACTTTGCCAATCGTTAGCTCTGCTCAATCCTGGAAGGAATAGCATCGGTTCTTCGAATGGGCAGAAGGATTTGGTGGAGTTCCTGTGGCTAGATGATCTTGGGAGACTAAGATGCTAGTACTTTGCCAATCTTTTGGGTAGAAAGACTTACTAAATTCTTTAGCTGAACTCAATTCTGAAAGGATCAGGTTTGCAGCAGCATGGTGATTTTTGGAGTCCCCTAATTGTCAGCAGCCTTCTGGGCTGGAAATGACTCAAATCTTAAGCTGTGTGCTCAATCTAGGAAGGAGCCCTGTGCAGACTGACTTCCTGGAGTGATGCATCTAAGGATCTTTGCCTTTTCTGGTCAGAGATGACCAAATGTTCAGCTGTGGTCTGACCAAAGAGGACCAATGTGGGTTCTTTGGCTTGGTGGACTGGTAGGATCAAAGGGAACTTGACTCTTAATCAAACTGTGATATTAAACTTTGTTATTAAATTGTACATAAAGGATTTTAAGCTCAAGTGAATTTGTATTTTTTCAGCATGATGAGCTGAGAGCTTATTTTTCTCTGTCTTTGAGCATCTCAGAGCTTTCCCATTCACCTTCTCAGAGCTTCACCATTTCAGAGCTTACCTTTCACCATTTCAGAGCTTTCCTTTTCACCTTCTCAGAGCTCACCTTTTCAGAGCTCACTTTTTCACCATTTATGAGCTTAATCTTTCACCCTTTCAGAGCTTACTATTTCACCATCTCTGAGCTTACTCTTATCACCCTCTCAGAGCTCACTTTTTCACCATTTATGAGCTTAATCTTTCAACCTTTCAGAGCTTACTATTTCACCATCTCTGAGCTTACTCTTATCACCCTTTCAGAGCTCACTTTTTCACCTTTTATGAGCTTTCACCTTCTCGGTGCTTACTTTTCACCATTTATGAGCTTACCTTTCACCATCTCAGAGCTTACTATTTCACCATCTTTGAGCTTACTATTTCACCATCTCAGAGCTTACTATTTCACCATCTCTGAGCTTTCCCTTTCACCTTCTCAGTGCTTACGTTTCACCATTTATGAGGTTACCTTTCACCATCTCAGAGCTTACTATTTCACCATCTCTGAGCTTTCCCTTTCACCATCTCAGAGCTTACTAACTCTTTCACCATCTCAGAGCTTACTTGGCACAGCTTTCTTTTCCTCATGCAGTGTGTTATAAGGGAAATTTTGCCAGGACAGAGATATCAGCTTACTCTTTGCTGAATTTCCAGCTCTGAAAGGCATGTAGCACACAAGGCCATGGCTTATTGTCCAATACAAATGACTTAATGCTTTAACATTTCAAAAACAACTATGTGGACTCTTCAAAAAGGGAAGAGAAGTTGACAAACCAAATTGCAGAGTGGTCTCAGGTAATAATAGAAGAAAACACCGAGTTATTTTCAAATATCTTTTATTATTGAAAACACAATATGTATCTTGAAGTATTTTTCTCACTATTATCCAGTCCTATTTTATATTTATATATATATATATATATATATACCTTTTAGGGCTGGATAATCTGGAATTTTCTAAACTTTTAAAAACTGAGGCTAGTCTTAAATTGCAAACATTCGAAGCTGAATATTTTTTTTTACGTAAAAAATAAATGAAAATATGAATTTATGCAAAACTTTTTAAAACTTCGAAATCCACAATTGAATATATTGAAAAGAAAAAAGCTTAAAAGCTGGGTGATATTCTAAGTGAGCCAGTAAGCCACGTTGACGTCTTTTGTTGGGAAAATTTAAATAAAATTTCATAAGATATTAAAGGGATTGTAAAAAGGTTTTCTTAAATTTTTTATGTGTATCAGGGACACTGATACCATCAATTTACACCATTCTAATTTTCAATCAGACGTCTGTGGTTCCTGCAGTTCCACTAAAACTAAGTGTTTTATGAGATCGCAATTGCAAAAGTTAATAATGTCTATGTGCTTTTGCAATATTGATGCCATAAAATGTTGAGTTTTAGTGGAATTGCAGGAATCACAGACGTCTGATTGAAAATTGGAATGGTGTAAATTGATGCTATCAGTGTCCCTGATACACATAAAAAGTTTAGAAAACCTTTTCATAATCCCTTCAACACTGGAAAAAAGGGAATTTAGCTCATCCAATGGAAATAAAGGGTTCAGTTTTCAAATTTTCATCATGGCTCATTTTGATTGGTCAATGAGATAACTTCTTAAAAATCAGCCAATGAGTGGTCTAGATTTAATTTAAACTTAATAACGATCTCAACAAAATTGGAAATTGCTGGTTCCAACTAACCACAATTTCACGATTTTGTAAAAAATTGGCTTAGATTTGAATCTTAAATGAAAGGCTCAATTGCAGAATGCCTTCAAGAATTCATGATACAAATGTTTGCAGTTACGGATACTAGAACTATGTGACCAACATAAAATATACCCCCAAATGTGAAATCTTGAAACAGGCGCTCTTGTCTTCCAGAACATTGCAGAATGGCAAAAAATAAATCAGAAGCTCCTGAAAGGAAACTATACAAAGGAAAAGAGTTAGTCTCTATTTGAAATGACTCTATAAAAAAATCAAAATATTTAAAATGCTTAAACACAGAAAATTCTCATGGACGCCATTTTATTTGGGAAAACTAGTTTTAGACCTTGCTTGATTGATTCGGAAATATTTGGATATAATTCCAAAATTTGGCACTGTCTTAATGACTGTGATAATATTTCACTAATGGTAACATTTTTTAAACAATAGTTATTCAAGTGGGAATGAATTCAATGTCAGATTTTCATTTTGATAAGTGACACAGTTAGCTTAAATTAAGCTGGTAAATTGATAATTAGAAAAAAACACAATTGGCTTCAATTTTTTTACAGTTTTCCTAAAAACCTTTGGATATTTTTGTCATAAGAATGTTAATTCTCGATGTTAAATTAACTGCTGCTTAATTGTAAATAAATCCAATGCTAGATTATCATTTTTGATAAGGGACACAGATAGCTAAAATTAAACTTTATCAGCTAGTTAATTGATTAATAGATGAAATCACCAGTTTTCCTAAAAATCTTTGGACATTTTTGTCATAAGAATGTTAATTCTCGATTTTAAATTAACTGCTGCTTAATTGTAAATGAATCCAATGCCAGATTATCATTTTTGATAAGGGACACAGTTAGCTAAAATTAAGTTTTGTCAGCTGGTAAAATGATTAATAGAAAAATTCTATTCTCGATGTAAAATTACACGCTAACGGCCAAGTATCGTCAAATTTTTTTTCAAACAAGACCGCAAAATGACCCAAATCCATTTTTTCCAAATAAAAATGGCCGCCAGAAATAAATTAAAAATTTGCAGATGTAAAGCACTAATAAAAAGGAATAAATAATTTTTTAAAAATATCCGATTTTCATATATTAATTTGTCAAATTCTTAAAAAAATTTCTATGTACAAATAACTTAAATCTCTTGGAAACCATTTACTTCAGTTAATTCCCTTAAAATCTATTTACAAAACAAAGGCGTTTTCATGAAATCAACTAAAAGGCTTGAAACATATAGCAAATCCCACCAAAATATACTTAGTCTACAGTTACTGAGTCACTGTCTACTTGATATTTTGGCATGATTTGCTGTAAATCTAAAGAAAGGGGTTAAATAAATACGACTAAAAATAATTTGGGATTCATTTTCGCACGATTTTGAAATTTAAGATATTTGGAGAATGATTTGGAATAGATTTTTGTTTACCCTGATGGTCTATCTTAAAAAAAATCAAAACTTGAAGACAAATCTTGATTGGTCAATCTTCAGGAACATTTGAACCAATCAGATTTTTCGAAAAACTAAATGGAGGAATACCATTGGTGATCTTAATTTCAGATGCTCTTCAATTTTTTCAAGAAATCTGATTGGTTAGAAGTTCGACCAATCAAAGATAAAAAAGATTCTTAAGTTATGATTCTTTCAGTAAGACCTGTTTGATTGCTCTTGATTTTGATCCGGATGAGTGCTGGGTGCCATCTTGGATGTCGGTACAAATTTGTGATATGGTTTTCAAAATATGCCAAGATTTGGTTTCCCAAAAATGCCTTTTAGATTTGAGCAAAGATATTTTCAATGCAGATGCAAGAAGATTCAAAATAAAACGAGAAGATTCCACTTTATTTGTAGGTAGTGTAAGTAGTAATCAACACAATGTAACTTTAGTCTGTATAGTTTCTATTACTATATATTCTACCTACTAATAAAATGGACTGCTCGTTTGGAATCGTCCTCAAATGGGCATTTACTTCTGTCCAATTGTAGCTTTAGAAACATATTGCTTGCGCTTTGTGAGAGATGAAACAGCACTGCTTCAAATGACCCGAATTGCAAAAAAGTTCCCGTCTAAATCGTTGTGACAATGTCTTGATAATCTCGCCTACAAAAATAAAATGCCCTATAATCTCTAAACAAATGTTTCATGTAATTAAATTAATTTTAGTCTCCAAGCAGAAATTTAACTTTAAATTAAAATGCAGAATTGGATGTTTCGTTTCATGTTTTTAATTGGGTTATTACATATGCCAATCATGATCTGACAAGATTTTTCTTTAAATTGTGTACTGTGAAATTTTGACTCAGTTGCACTAACACTTGTCATAATTTATGCTAACCAATTCAACACAGTGGGTGGACATATAGTAAGGACATTTTTCACTGCACAGAGCCATTTGATTGGTTTGAATATCAAATGACCTAGAACACGAGATAAATAACAATTTTGTCAGATCATGGATAAGAAGTGGAGTCACCCATAACAAAAACATGAATGAAACTTCCAAATCTGCATTTATATTTGATTTCAATTGGAAAATTCAAGAAATTTTGATCCTGGATTAAGTATTTTAAACTTAACTTAAATCTAATATCAACCCTTATTGTCCATAAGGATCAAAAATTAACCCTAAACAAATTCCATTACCCTAAGTTGTCCAAAGTGGCTCAAAGTTAACCCTCAAAAGTCAGCTGGTTCAAAACTTAACAGGTAAAAATAAGCTATAAGCATGTAAAATACATTGTTTGGCCAAAAATGTTGAGAGCTTAAAAGAATAGTGATGTCAGGTGAATATAAAGAAAGGGCAAATCACAACCCTTTTTGTTAGAACCCTGAAACCTAGCCAAGAGAGCAGCTTTCAGATCAACTCCGTTTTTTGAAGGGGTTTGGGAAAGGAGACCTTGCCTTTTCTCAATGATTTTTACTGAGTTACAAAATTTTACCAAAAATTTGACGGCATTGCAAATGGAATAGGAATTATGGGACTGTATTTTTTTAACCAATCAGATGACAGTATTTTCTAAAATGAGGATCTGTGATCTAAGTTAAAGGGATTGTAAAAAGGTTTTCTAGTCTTTGTATGAGTGTCAGGTACACCATAGATATCTGATTGAAAATTGGAATGGTGTAAATTGATGCTATCAGTGTCCCCGATACACATGAAAGTTTACAAAACCTCTTTACAATCCCTTGAAAAGCCAGGCACCCTGCAGAGTTGACATGAAGGACCCTACCCTACAGAGTTGACATGAAAGACCCTGCAGAGTTGACATGAAAGACCCTGCAGAGTTGACATGAAAGACCCTACAGAGTTGACATGAAAGACTCTACAGAGTTGACATGAAAGACCCTACAGAGTTGACATGAAAGACCCTACAGAGTTGACATGATAGACACTACAGAGTTGTCATGAAAGACCCTACAGAGTTGACATGAAAGACCTTCCACTCCAGAGTTGACATGAAAGACCCTGCAGAGCTGACAGAGTTGACATGAAAGACCCTGTAAAATTGACATGAAAGACCCTGCAGAGAGTTAGCAGAGCTGACAGAGTTGACATGAAAGACCCTGTAAAATTGACATGAAAGACCCTGCAGAGCTGACAGAGTTGACATGAAAGACCCCCCAGAGTTAGCAGAGCTGACAGAGTTGACATGAAAGACCCTGTAAAATTGACATGAAAGACCCTGCAGAGCTGGCAGAGCTGACAGAGTTGACATGAAAGCTGGTCTCTGTATTGACATTAATATATAAATCTAGAGTGTCGGAATAATCTATACACTATATAGAGTTTGTAGGGAAAAATAGAGTCTGAAAAATCACTGGAATCTTTGAAAACATATATCAGAACATTTATATACTCTAAAGGAATTGTTCCTGGCAATGCCATTCTTACTTTTAGACTTGTTTTGGAATATAACCTCAGCTTTACTGGTACCTTAATCTTGAAAACTTAACCTAAGATGATTTTTAGTATTCCAGTCTTCTGATTTTAAAATTGAATTTTATTATCCAATCAGATTACTGTATTTCTCAAAATTTGGATTTTTAGCTTAGTTAAATTTTCGAGATTAAGGCCCAAGCTGTCCTGGTGAAAGTTTGATATCTGTAACATTTGTGGAATTGTTATTAGTTATTTTATTATGACGCCATGCTCAATGCTTTCCTGATGATAGATTTATATCCAAAACATGTTTCAAAACTTTCAGAAGAGCTTTGTTTGAAAAACTCAAGACCCCAAAAATATATATTTCTAATTTTCAAGGTATCTCTCTTTAACCAAATTTCATTTTTAAGTAATTTTGATTTTAATATTTGATCAAACAAAACCCAAACTTACATCGATAGCAGAATTGCTCAAGTGCAGAGTGGTGTCAAGTGTTTCAATAATAACCATCAGCTTCTAGATGGCAATTTACGCTTTGGTAAAAAAAATCACAACTTTCGTAAAAATTCAAACTTTTTCCTAAGTCTTTTTTAAAAAAAAGAAAAAAGAAAAATATTACCATCAACAATTCCTTTAAAGCAATTTTTCATGTTCAAAAGCTAACAGACACAAATGGGCCTATCTGTGCTTTTTTTTTAGAAAAAATCTAGGTTAATTATAAAAAAAAAAAAATGAAAAATAGGTGAAGTGGGATACAAAGTTGTGCTGATTATAATTTTGTTAAAATTCTAAGTTAAACTCTACTATTTTGGAAATTTGAGAACATCTTAATATTGCTAGTCAAATTTTTCCTGAAACGCTTAAAGGTATTACACCCTATATTTTTACTTTTCATCGAAAATTTGTCTTTTAATATTTCAAAATGAAATACGATCTAAATTGCAAATCAAAATCCAAAACAGATTTGCAATGCATAGGTCCTTTTTTTTTTTTTTGGGGCTAAAATATAAATATTTTTTGGGAATTTTTGTTTCTAAAAGAAAGTTTTCTGCATTTGAACAGAGGATCGTTTGAAAATTTAACGAAGATCAAATTGGCAGTGCATTTTTGATTCAAAATTTTGTCATAATTTTGTGTGAAATTTGGAAAAGCTTTCGTTTTCTGGGTTTTTTTTGCCCCTGACATCTGATTATGTTTTTTGATTTGTGGTGAAATATTTGGAGATTTCAGGAAAAATTTTTCTACAGTTTCTTAAGTTGATCTTTTTTAAGGATAAAATACATTATCACTACTGAAAACAGAAAAAAAAATGGCTACATCAAAGTAACCAATCACTGCAGCCGATGAAAGGCAGAAGAATATCGGCCAGCCAATCAGATGTTGAGCAATGCATCACATGATATATTGATTGTCCAATCAAATGATGTGTTCATCACATGATACAAGATTATCCAATCACATGAAAAGTTTTTGCATCACATGATCAAGAACTGTCCAATCGAATTAATGAGCTAGGCATCACATGATTAAGAACTGTCCAATCGAATCAGCTGGGCATCACATGATCTGTGATTGTCCAATCGAATCAATGAGCTAGGCATCACATGATCTGAGATTGTCCAATCAAATTAATGAGCTAGGCATCACATGATCTGAGATTATCCAATCAAATTAATGAGCTAGGCATCACATGATCTGAGATTGTCCAATCGAATCAATGAGCTAGGCATCACATGATCTGAGATTGTCCAATCAAATTAATGAGCTAGGCATCACATGATCTGAGATTATCCAATCAAATTAATGAGCTAGGCATCACATGATCTGAGATTGTCCAATCGAATCAATGAGCTAGGCATCACATGATCTGAGATTGTCCAATCAAATTAATGAGCTAGGCATCACATGATCTGAGATTATCCAATCAAATTAATGAGCTAGGCATCACATGATCTGAGATTGTCCAATCGAATCAATGAGCTAGGCATCACATGATCTGAGATTGTCCAATCAAATTAATGAGCTAGGCATCACATGATCTGAGATTGTCCAATCGAATCAATGAGCTTGACATCACATGACTGGTTTTGTCCAATCAAATGACAAGTTTTTCAATTTAAAATATTTTTTGGAAGATTGTCGTTGTTATTTTCCCACTTTTGTACTAAAATTGTAACACGAAAAAAAGTCGTCTGCAGAATGCCGTAGTTTATATTTATATATATATACATCATTCTTAGATTTTTTGATCCTCGTTGTCACATGGTAGGTCACATGACCAAATATCTTAGCCAATCACAGCCTTAAGATTGCAATGTTTTTCTATCAATCTAATCACAGTCAACAAATGTCAGCATTTCATGACCCCGCCTTTTTTAAAAAATATTATCCAATCAGAGGCAAGCTGAAAAGTTTGATTGGCACCGCACAACACGTGAACAGAATTGAGTTTTCGAGAGAAAAAAAATGATTCGAATGAAAATAATTCGTAATGATGGGTCTTGAGTTTTTATGCACGTCCATTATTTTTTGCTTTTGTCAGTTGCAGAGTTATCTCTCTTAGATTAGAGTTCCTTCCCTTTGATATCACCTTTTCTGATCTCCTTTTGGAGAGCTTCCTAGTTACCATTTGGCAAGTCCAAAGTCCTTCAATTAAAGAGAGAGTACCCCTTTTTAATCTCATACTGTTTGGTTGCATGGTAGCATTTCACAAGAGTAGGGTTTGCATGATTTGACTAAGTACAGTTTCGGTAAGGTCTACATGTGCTGTCTAACATGTGTTCAGAACACATGAACACATTTCTGAACACAGACACATATTTTCGGTCCATATTGTGTTAACTGACAAATTTCTGGTCATTTCAAACACCATCAGCTGAGCAGCTTCCAAGTCACAGCTGTTCATCAGCTGACTATCCATGATCCTGATCACAGTTGCTCCAAGCAGCCATCTTGTATCACAATTTTTTTGAGCCATCTCGGGGAAATCGACGATGCACCACTCCACTCCACGGATATTTTGACACTTTTCTACTGTCTCAGCCATTGCCAACGTTAATGTCGTTTGCTAGAATTCACAATCCAATCAAATCCAATCCAACTGCTGTAGACAAGTAGCGTCTCATATTAAGTCATGGAGTTTTATGAATTTCCAAAATCACATTTTAGAATTTCCAAAAAAAGAAAAAAAAAATTATAGCTAAATTTTTAAAATGATTGAAATTTTTGGATATAAAAAAACACCAGAAATGTTGTATCGTTTTGTTTCCAGAAGTGAACAAGACCTAAAAATAGCCTAAGCCGTGCTATGTGTTGACTGCTACTAAATTGTTTGTATTTGGTGCAGAACTAGGAGTTGTGGCGGGGGGCGTCGACGCTAGTGAACGCTCTTGGCTAGCAGAAGATCCTGGGCTGGTTCCAGTGGCTGTAGCTTCTATCACTGCCCCATCTACAATTAAATTCACAGTAGAATTATTTTTTGGAAAGATCGGTTTGGCTAAGGTGAAGGGTTGGCATTGGATGCTTTGGGAAGAGGGGACCTGAGCAGTATCTTTTGGATGGAATGATGGTTGATCAGCATTCGCCTTCCTCCCCATTCCCACAACTAGTGCATCAAGAGACATTCAAAAACTTGAGTCATCACCAGTGGATGGTTGCAAATTTCGCTTGAACTTTTACAGAGGATTCAGTAGTAAACTTTGCTTGAACTTTTTCCAAAGGATTTGGTTAGTAAACTTTGCTTGAACTTTTTCACTGAATTTGCTAGTAAACTTTGCTTGAACTTAGCCTGAAATGCTTTAATTTATTACAAAATGTTGCTTGGACTTAAGTCAAAAAGTTCAGTGGTAAAGTAGTAAACATTGCTTGAACTTTTGTTACTAGGTTCAGTGGTAAAGTGGTAAATTTTGCGTGAACTTTTATCACTAAGTTCAGTGGTAAAATTTGCTTGAACTTTTTTGTCACTAAGCTTTGCTTGAACTTATGCTTTGTACTTGGTATGTGTCAAGAAACTGTCCAAGGTCATTTTGGATGAATTTCTGTTGCTCTACCTCATCACCAAGATGCTCAGCTTTGCTGAAAATGGAAGGCTTTTGAAAAGAGTGAGCATTCCACATTGTGCTATTTTTAGTATACGCTTATGGGAAGGACAAATTCTTCGGAAGACCAAACTCAATTGTCAACAATTTTTGAAGTATCATTTGCTATAAAAATTCAAGAAAGCTTTGTAAAGGCTTGAAAAAGTACATGCTCAAGAAGTTGGAACCCAAAATATCTCAAAATTCATTTGAAAATTTTGGATCCTTGGATCCTTGGATGACTCATTCAAAATGGCCGCTTGGACAGAGTCCTGGACACATACTTAGTTGTCTACCTTTATCGGGGAATTTTTCGTCTATTATCTGAGCATTAGAGGGAGCCACTAGTGGTGTCGAGTTGATGTTGGCGTTGGCGTTAGGCGTCACAAGAAGATTGGACAAGGCTGTTGTTGCTGATTGGGTATCTAAAAATAGAATTCAGGTCCAATCAAATGGGTGTGCTAAATTTCATGCAGCCATGCACAATGGATTTGCTTGTTCACTTAAGTGCAAGCAAGGATCATTTTCAAGATCTTGAATGTTAAGCTTTGCCAAGATTTGCTTGGAAGCTGAAGCTGTTCTTTTGCTCTGATACCAATGAACCATAGCCCTGCAAAGATGTGCCGTTGTTTTGCAAGACTGAACCATAGTTTTTCTGTTGTACAGCATCTGCAGGGGCCACACATCTGCAGAGATGCATCCACAAAAGAGTTTTCTGCTAAATTGGACCTGCCTGGCTCTGCTAAAATTAATCTGCTTGCCTTCACCAAAATGGATGTGCATGGTGTTGAAAAATGAATTGAAAAAAAAGTGATGCCCATGCTTAATGTGCACTTTTGCAGTTGGTGTACCCTATGTAATGATGTCCCTTTTTTGTCCAGAAAGGGTGACATGAAGCTTAAAAAAATTCTTATTTGACGGTTTTTAATGAAAAGCTTACTAAATTCAGCTTTTTGCAGCATGAAGCTTAAAAACCATGCTTATTACATGGTTTAGGTTTTGCATATTTTAAGCTTTTAATTGATTTTCTGCATCACAAAAAGCTCACTTTAAGCATTGCATATTGTTAAGCTTAGCTTATTTAATTTCTGATTTACAAAGAAACTAACTTTAAGCTTTGCAAATTTTAAGCTTCGGTAATTTATGCCTTAAGCAATGCTTACTTTACACAGTACATATTTTAAGCTTAACTCATCTGCTTCACAAACAACTTACTTTAAGCTCTTCGTATTTTAAGCTTAACTGATTAACTTAAATGCATAGTTTAAGCTTAGTGATTTACTAGGTGTTTGAACAAAAATGTGATGTGGCATACAAGTCATGCGAAGTTAAAAGCTTACTTTAAGCTCTGCTTAATTTAAGCAAAGCTTACTCAAATAACAATGGGGAAACAAATCTGTCAAGTTCAAGCAAGTTCAAGCAAATTCAAGCAAAGCAAAGCATACACATCCTCAAAATCCATGCAAAGTTCCTGAATTTCTGGTAACTGGCGTGGTGGACCAGTTCCTTGAGTTTTCCTTGCTCAAGGAGTTGGTGAAGCATTGTTCATTGAAAAACCTAAAAAAAAGTTGAAGTAAGGATCCTTAAAGCCTTAAAGTATTTCTGCTGCTTCATTGGTGCTTTTATTTACCCCCCAGGGGATTTTGTATACCCCCATGGGCTTTTTTAGGGATTTATTGACCAAGGCAGAGTTCAGGGGGTACTTTTCAAGGAAGGTTTGTCCATAGGAAATTTTCTTTTTCTGTCTTGTCGGTACATTAATCCTGTAGTGTTTGTTTCAGACAAAATGCTCTCCTAGCCTAGGTTAGGTTTTTCTTAGGTTAGGTAAGGTTTGTCCTAGGCTAGGTGAGGTTTGCCAAATGCTAGGTAAGGTTTGTCCTAGGTTAGGTTAAGTTTATCCATGTCCTAGGAAGGGTAGGTCTGTTCATAAAAGTTTTTTCCGTCTGCTCTGTGTCAGGATATCAAAGGTTCTGTTTGTTTCATACAAATTTCAGTCATGGCTCAAGCCAGCTCAGGGTATGCTCGTCCATAGAAAAGACTCTTTGTGTCAGACCATCAAAGGATCTGTTTGTTTCATTCTAAGTGCTGTCCTGGTGAGCGACCATTTTGTTAATTAGACATTGGATTAAGGAGCAGTATTCTCAGAACATCTGGTCTCTTTGATCAAGGCTTGTCAAGAAAATGGGTGATTAAATCAAAATTAGGTTAAAGGAGTCTGATTTGTCAGTTGCCATGGACACGAAAGCTGAGCCCTTTCTGTTTTCTGGACATTGCCTCCTAATTAGCCTTTCTCTGGACTTAGCCTTTCCTAGAATGAGCTGCTGCTCCCATGAGCGGCCTTTTCCTGCTTTTCCCTGAACATTTTCCATGAAGAGGCCACCCTTTTCTGACTTTCCTTAAGCCTTTTCCATGCATACATGTTTTCTTGCACTTTTTCAGACTGAACCTTCCTTTGAAAATGCTTTGAGTTTTTGCTCGCCTTTTTCTGGATAAAACCGTTTCCAAAACCTTTTCTTGAACATTTCCCTGCCTTTTTCTGGATAAAACCGTTTCCCAGGCTTTAATCAGACTACGCCTTTCTACAGCATTTTTTTGCCTTTTATGGACTGAACCTTTCCCTGAAATTGCCTCCTGGAAATCTGGATAAAACCGTTTCCCAAGACTAAGCAAGAAAAGTACAGTGGTAATAAATTAACTGATTTTTTTCTGGATAAAACCGTTCCCCATGCTTTTAACAGAATATGCCTTTCAGCATTTTCCTGGATAAAACCGTTTCCCTAGACTAAATCTTTTCCAAAAGTAATTTTCATTTCTTTTGGGACAGATCCTTCTTGTGAAATTGCCTCCACTTGAGTATTTCCGAACCTTTTTCTGGATAAAACCGTTTTCCCAAGACTAAATCTTTTCCAAAGTAATTTTCATTTCTTTTGGGACAGAACCTTCTTGTGAAATTGCCTCCACCTGAGTATTTTTCAACCTTTTTCTGGATAAAACCGTTTTCCCAAGACTAAACCAGGAAGATTCCATGGTAATGAATTAACTGATGTCCAATTAGATTAATGAATCAAATCTACAAGCAACTAAAAGCCACATTGAAAGCCAGCCAAAATCAAAAGACAGCATGCCAAACCAATGGGAGATCAGAGACAGAAATAGATGACTCTTAGCGTAATGAAAATTAATTAGTGGGGCCTTTTTATGTTTCCAGGTTAAATAAAGATCTGTATAGTCGATTTACTTAATGCATCTTTTACTTTGCACGTTCAGGGCTGTGAATTTGGTTTTATTTGCCGGTCAAGTCTGATTGATGTTCCAAAATGTACTTCTTTAATCCTTAATTTTTGAGAAAAAAAATTTTATGTCTTAAAGACTTTTCACAATTTTTATGATTTTAATGTAAGACTGAAATATTTTTAAATTTTTAAATTCAAAATTTGATATTCATAAAGTGTTCATAAATTTTTTAAAAACAACCTGTATATTAGTTTATTCATTTGATAAAAAATAGTCCTGAAAAACTCAATCATTTCCAGTCATCTTTACATCTCTAGTCAAACATGACCGGTAAGCATTGACAAATCAACAATCCTGGTTGGTACAAATTGACAACTTAAGATGGTATATGTAAATTGTAATTAAAAATGAGCTGAAACTAAATCAAGCAACACCTGATACCTCTCTGCAGTTTCTTTAAAAAAAAAAAAAAAAAAAAAAAGTGCACTAAAAAGCAAATAAAAAAGCGAAAAAAAAAAAAAACTGGATGAAAAATGAGGAGTACTAAAAATGGGGGAAATACCTTTTACGTTAAACATAAAGAAAAAAGTTACGAATATATTTTCGATTGAATTTCAAAAAGCATAGGGTAGCGCATATGATATGTAATATTTATATATAGTTATAGGTATAGTTATAAAAAAGAACCAAAATTCTAAAATTTACCATTGGTTTTGATTTCCGTGACTTTTAGCGGTGTTCCTGGGTTGGAACTGATTTCGACTAAACGTGGTGGGGCTTTATCAGAGGCTGTGGTAGCTGTGGCTGCTAAAGATGCTGCCATGGGGGCCCGACCTTTCCCAGGCACATCATCGCGTTCAGCGTGATTCAGCATCAACATTGGGATGGCTTCTTCCCCATTTTTACCTAAAGGCAGAGCAAATAAAAATCAGTTTTAAGAAGCATTTGCAACAAGAATCGTGTCTCCATTGATTACTATGCATGACTCAATATATAAAACATTAATTTCAAAATTATTAACTATGCAATGATGAATTGATCATTATAATGATGATGATGATGATGATATATAATGATTTTGGCATAAAAAAAATGATGATTTTGTTTATATAAATGATAATTTTGTTTATATAAATAATAATTTCTTTTTATAAAATGATGATTTTCTTTTTATAAAACGATGATTTCAAACATAATGATTTTCGTAAAATGATTCCTGAGCTAATAACAATTGATAGTTCTGTAAAAGAATGATTTTCGATAATAATGATTTCTAAACTTAAAACAAAATGATGATTCTAAAACTCAAGCTTTGTCTATCTGAATATCTTTAAAATTTTAAAAACATTTTCATAAGAGCTTAAATTCAGCTCTACTTAAAAAAAAAGGGTGCTACCCATTTTTAAAAAAATAATGTGCGTTAAAATTCTATCATTTTAAGCAATGCTTTGCTTAATATCGTTTTTTTTAACGCTTTTTTTTGAGCTGATAAAACCAAGGATATTAGACAAAGCGTTTCTTTCAAAGATAAGTGAACACCCTGAAAAAGAAAAGGTGTTAGTTCAAAGCTGAATTTTTAAGCATCTAAAAGCTGCCTAATAGAAGTGTAGTTTTTTCAAAGTTTAAGCTTTTAAGCCCAGATTCTTTGAACTGTTTTCCTGTTTAAAATATAAGCCAGCTTAACTAAAATTATTATGAACACGATTTAGCATGGTCTATAAAACACGATAAATAAACACGATTCATGAACTATAGAACACGCTTAATGAACACAAGTAATGAACATGGTCTATAGAAAACCGTAAATGATGGTAAAGAAACAAAGTTCATGAAGATGGCCTATAGAACAAGATAAATGAACACGATCTATTGAACACGATTCATGAATACGGTTCATGAACATGATCTATAGTAGACAATAAATGAACACGATTTATGAACATGATCTGTAGAACACGATTAATGAACACCGTTTATGAATTTTACTTATGAATCTGGTATATGAACACAGTAACTTGAAACAGTTCATGAGCACAGTTTATGAATTTGGTTTGTAAAACTCAAAAAATGAACGCAGTTTATGAACACTGAACACATTATATTGTAGATAAGCTGGCTTTTAAAATTGGTTAAAGGAGGCAAAAGATTAAAGTTTTGAAAATTTTCAGTCAGATGAGTCTAGTTTAAGAATATTTCTTTCAAGTTTTTGGCAAAATTTATCCAACTTTCAAAACTTTTAAGCTTTTCGCATCCTCTGGTGAAATTTTGAAGCTGAAAGACAAAGCAAATAGCAAACGACATTTTTTCAACTTTACAATATATAATGTACACAGCCGTTGCTCATTCTGTCAAGGGATAGGACTATAGCGCCGCCTGCAAAAGTAAGTTGTGTCAAGAAAAAGTTTTAAGATATTTGACTGAAGAAATTAAAGCTCACAAATTTTGGAATTGATTCTAGAGAACCGATGAACCGGTGTGGTTTACTGAAGAGCGGTTAAGATTTCAAAACGGTTTCTATGCATTAAGAAATGCAATTCAGTGAACCGTTAAAGAAAATCCAAAATTTGTGTATAGTTTGCTTAATAGTCTACAGCTTTTGGTTAAGATTTCAAAACGGTTTCTGCGCATTTAGTAATGGAATTCGGTAAACCATACCAATTTCGTGCTTAATTTACTGAAGAGCTTGAAGCTTTTGCTGAAGATTTCAAAATGGTTGCTATGGAAACTTTAGTTTCATTCAAAAACAAATCAGAATTAAAAAGTAATCATTTAAAATCCCCAAAAAATATTTTCTGGAAGGAAACAGAAAAGACCAAGACTGAAAATGACAAAAATCCATTTTCAGCCATTTTTTGTACGAAACTAAATAAATGTGTTTTCACTTCTAGAGCGAGAATTGTGTTTAACTGAATAATGCTCACTCTAAACTGAATAAAACTGAAAAAAAGACTGAAATTATCGGTCAAATTGTGCTCTTTATATATGATTTTGCGTGGAATATGAAAAATGAACTTCAAATGTTAAAAATTATTGTTGTATTCGATTGATAATGTTATATAGTCATTTTGGGTTAAAAAACCAAACTTTAATGCACCCAAAAACCAAAATAAAAAATCAGAACTGTGGAAGGGGTTAATACCTTGCCAAAAAAATCAAAAAATCAAATCATGGGCATTCAAAAACAGCATCGCCAAAAAGATCTAAGATGGATTTGTGCTTCGGTATTTTGGACCCAAAATTTTAGGACCAAAGTTCCCCTGGAATTATTTAAATTTCGTTGATGAAGTACTAAATATTTCAAAAGCATTTCTGTTAATTGGCCAAAAGTTCGTTCATTTAAGTACAGTAATATTCAATGGAACTTTTTGAAATGAAAGAAAAGTTCGAAAATTTGAATTTTTATGGAGGAGACTACTTGCCAAAATTTGTCAACTGCATTTTTGATAAGTACTTAGATATTAGCTGTCAATTTTAGCCAAAAGTTCGTCCAATTAAGTACATCTAATATTCAATTGAACTTATATGAAAATAGCAAAGTTCTGAAATTTGAAAATTGTATGGAAGTGCATACATGCCAAAATTTTCAACTACAATTTTGCTAAATACTAAGATATGAGTGCTCAGTCAATTTTTTCCCAAATTTCATGGACTTTTAGACAGTTATATGCAATTGAAGTTTGAAATGTCAAAAATTTGAAAATTTTATGGAGGGAGATACAAGCCAAAATCCATCTTGGTTATAAGTTTAGGGCCAGCACCAATGAGTAAATTTGTTATGACACTCTAGGCCTATATAATATACTCTACCAAGTAAAAGTCCCATATTATATGCACCTGCAAATTAAATATTCAAGACAACAGTTAATTTCTACACATGGCCATTTTCTTGACACCCTTGGTGCCATTTGATAGATCTTTTTCATAACACATGAAACACATGATAGCACATTTGTGTTTCTGTTCATTTTGGTACAATTGAGTGCATTGCGGTGCATACAGTTTTTCAAAATATTGTGTTATTTATATGCAGCATATTCATAAATTTAGCACAATCAGAATTATGGGTGCTTCTAAGTCTTCAAATGTATCAAAATGTTCAAAACACATATGCACATACAAAACAATTTGCCTTAAATACAATATATGAATCGATGATAATAAAATGCATTCTGTCATTTAAAGGAGCACACCACGTAAATCTATCCTTTAGGATAGAGCACAAACTTGTGATGAGCTCTTTTAAAGTTGATTTTTAATGCAAAATCAAAAAAATGGATGATCTTAAAAGACTTTTTGAAAAAATGAAATGACAGGGACAATCCCTTTAAACAATATAAGTACTGTGTATACTATTTTCAAAAACCACCACAATTTGGCACATATGTTCAATTCATGTTCTCATGCTCTTTAATGCTCAATTCGCCATTTGTGCTCATGCTTCCAGATGTTCAATTATGTTCAATTCATTTTTGTTGAAATTTTTGAATAAGAATTAACTTAATTAACTTTTTTGTGTCTTTAATTGATCGCTTTAAATTTATGTAATCAAAAATGTTCAAATATCTGAAAGCATATCTTTGGGCTAAAGAAGATGCAACATTCAAATTTCCTAGCAAATGACTCCAAGAGACCTTTAAATTAGATCCATAGCTCATTATGAATAAGCATGTAGCTAATGATAGGTGCCTTGGAGTCAATTCCAAATGCATTTTAAACCAGGAAATGAGTCAGACAGACCTTTAAATTAGATCCATTATTCATTATGAACAAAATTGCAGCTAATTGTAAGGCCTTTATGAGTCAGTTTTTCAATCCACTTAAAACCAGCAAATAACTCCGAGAGACCTTTAAATTAGATCCATTATTCATTATGAATTAGTATGTAGCTAATGATAGGTGCCTTGAAGTCAATTCCAAATGCATTTTAAAACCAGTAAATGATTCCGAGAGACCTGTGAATTAGATCCATAGCTCATTATGAATAAGCATGGGGCTAATGACAGGTCTCTTGGAGTCAATAATCCTATATATTTCAATGTTGTATCTTATTAAACCTATGCACAAAACACACAAACACCATGCCACAAATTTCAATTTCCATGCATTTCGATGCATTTTAAATCCATAATTCTTTGATAATATTTCATTAACTATTTTTGCCTTAAGTGTTTTTTTAAAATTCTATTTTCTATTCTGAATTGTCAACAAAAAAAAATTATTAAGCAAATTTTACATTAAAATGATATTTGCATTTAAAGCGTGTCACCTTACGTTAGAATTAGAAATTTTAAGATTTACAAAATTTTGCTAATTTTATTTAAAGATGGGTTTCTTTATTTTTTAGTGTCAAATTAAGCAAACTATTTGATTAATTGGTGTTTCTAATGAATTATCATGTATTCTTAATCATATCATTATGTTCTTATTGCATATAATTAAGAGTTTTAACCAATCATAAATATCCATGTATGTACAGTCTGGATAAACAAAAAAAGACTTTTTAACCTTTCTTGATCGGTCACTCATTGGAATTCTGCTGGTAATTCTCTTCGAATTTAGCTAATTATGATTTAATTATAGACATGTGAGACAAACTGGTATTTTTCCAAGTCATTAGAACACCTCTACTTTCTATTCATATAAGTATTAGCATTTTCAAAAATGAAAATAAGGGAACCCATCTTTAAAGAATTTTTTTGTTTGAATTTGTGTACGCATATAGTGTGAAGCCTTATTTGATGAAATTTTCAAAATTCACAAATCGCTGAAACTTGTGTTCGCATTGAAGCGTGCCAGCTAATTTTAGGTTTGAAAGTGTCAAAGAATGCTTAGATCTACAAGTGAGAAGCTGTTCGTAGGGAACTTTACATTAGAAGCAAAGTTTTGAGAATTTTTGGGGGAAAAGTGCCCAAAGTTTAAATTTTTTATTAGTTAGAAAAAGAGTAAAAAAAAATTAATTAAATAAAGCAAATTTTTAGTAATTTTTATATCTTTTCAATTATTTTATTTTGCACGTTTCAACTAATTTTCTTATTTCATGGACTTTTTTCTTAGTTTATGAATATTCATATATTCATTATCTCCTTATAAGGAAAGTCATTAATATTCATATCAATTCATTAATATTCATTATTCTGTAGTTAGTAACCTAGTATTCCAGTGCAGGGATTATAGTATTCCAAAACCAGTTTTAATACATCATTCCAAAACCAGTTTACATCATTCCAATTTCAGTTGTCTCATTCCAATCACTACAATTCCAATGCTCATTTGCTTTGGGCTGAATTTGCATCTAATCCACTTAATTCTGTGCAAAATTTAAACCAAAATCAATGCTAAATTTTCTTAAAATTTAATGCAAAATTTGATGCAAAAGTGTCACAAATTTGATGCAAGATTTTCTCCTGAATTAATGCAAAATTTTCACCAAAATTAATGCAAAATTTTTAAAGAGGCAGATGCACAAAATTACTAAGTATATATTGAAAAAGCGGAATTAAAACAAACTGTTACTTTAAAAATTTTGAAAATCAGATACTTTTTGAGAAAATAATGATAACAATAATGGAAAAATTATTTTAAAACTAGTGCACACTACCCCTTTAACCTTTTCAAAAGCCAAATGTTTTGATCCAAATCCAAAACCTTTGCATCAGAGCCTTGGAACCATTCCATTCCAATCCATGCTTCATACTTTATCTAAGAACTTCCTACAACTATTTCAGAATTTCTGCCAAAATTTGATTCCATGAATATTAAAAGCCATCTTTCAATTTTGGAGAATTCACAAACCCATTTTTTTTTTTTGGAGTATGAAACATTAAATTTATAAGGACAACAACTAAGGTTCCATGGATCCTTTGTTCCAGTTGATCCTTGACGAAAAACCTTGAAGGTTGACCTATAAAGGACGGCTTAAGGCCTTTTCGAGCTGATCCTTGGTCAAACAGCTTGAAGATAACTTTAAGCTCTTCAAGGACAGCTTGGGTTGAGTGAGCTTTTTTTCCAGCTGGTCCTTTGCCAAATTTTGTGCAGCTAGTCCTTTGCCAAAACTCTTTGAAATAATTTAAAGCTCATCAAGGACAACTTAGGTTCCATGGATCCTTTGTTCCAGCTAGTCCTTTGCCAAAACTCTTTGAAATAATTTAAAGCTCATCAAGGACAACTTAGGTTCCATGGATCCTTTGTTCCAGCTAGTCCTTTGCCAAAACTCTTTGAAATAATTTAAAGTTCATCAAGGACATTTTAGGTTCCATGGATTCTTATTCCAGCTGATCCTTGGCCAACCTTTAAGGAATTTAAGTTAATTTTAAGCTTTTGGCCATTATTTTATTTCCCAAATATTTCTGGAAATTCTGAAATACCTTGTGGAAAGTTATCAATCATATTGCCTTATTTTCATTCAAACAGAAAATTCTTCATTCCATCCCCATGATCTAGCTATGTCCAGTGCCGAATTCGTTTTTCATATCTTATCTGATTGGATGATGAATTTCAATGCTTAAATTTCATTGGCTAAATGCTTTCAAAGAAATTAAAGCATCAATTCTTATTGGCTAAATACTGCACATGATAAAACTATTTGAATTTTTTAAGCTAACGTGATTTAAATTTTTAAATGAATGTGATTCGCTAGTTTGAAATTCAAATCAATTCTGATTGGCTGATATGAAATTTTGTAAGAATATGATTGGTTAATTTGAATTCAAAACCAAGCTAAATCTTGATTAGAACATGGTCAGATCTGGAGATAAAAACAAGAATTTCAAGGGATTGTAAAGAGGATTTCTAAATTTTTATGTGTATCAGCAAAAATCCTTAGATGTTATAAGAAGCTTTTGTGATAGTGATGTCATAAAATGCTTAGTTTTAGTGGAATTGCAGGAATCACAGACGTCTGATTGAAAATTGGAATGATACAAATTGATGCTATCAGTGTCCCTGATACATTTAGAAAATTTAGAAAACCTCTTTACAATCCCTTTAATGATGATGTTGCTGAAACTACATGAGTCATCCATGAACATTATTTGGGTGGTGTTAGTCCTCGGCATTCCGGTTCCAGCGTGGTTTCCCCTCTGTATTGCGGCACCATTTTTGGAACCAACAAACCAATTTCAGTTTTGAGGCAAAAGCATTGAAACATTATGAAATTATTGCCTGGAATTTTTTAGAAATTTTCTTAAAAGAAAAGCTTTGGGAGTCTTTTTTTGAAAAAATGTGGGGCACTTTTGGCAAAATTGGTCTAAAATACCAGACTTTTGCAAATCATGCCCAATTAGAAGTCTTTTGTTGGCTATCATACTTTTGGCAAAGTTTGTCAAAAAAGGCTCTTAACTGCTCTACCCTAAAACTGATGTTGGTTTGCTGGTTGATTTAATCGTCCACCACAACCCTCCTAGTTGAAATTGTAGAGAGGTAGAGAGAGAGTCATGCTATGACAAATTCTGAAACCAGTTTGAGATCTTGGCAAATTTGGTACCCAAACCAGTTTCGGTTGTAGAAACCAGTTTGGGATTTCTACCATTTAAAATTGCACTTTTAGGCAAATAAATTTAGATTTGAAATTGGAATATCTGATGCTACTGTGAGCTTTCAGCTCTAAGCTCATTTTTAGAGAGTCCACATAGCAAATGAAACTTTAAGCTACAATGTCCAATAAGGAAATCCAACTTTAAAATTTAAGCTACCATGTCCAATAAAAAAAAACCTGAATTTTAAATTAAAACTACCATGTCCAATTAGAAAAAAATTCAAATTTAAAATTAAAGCTACCATGTCCAATAAAAAGAGAATCCAAATTTTAAATTAAAGCTATCATGTCCAATAAAAAGAGAATCCAAATTTAAAATTAAAGCTATCATGTCCAATTATAAAAAAAATCCCAAATTCAAAATAGGTCCAAATTTACCAAGATCTCTTTCAAAAATCATAACTATGCATCAAGCGAAGTTGAAAAATCATCCATTGGGAAGTTTTGTAAAGAGACATGCAAGCAGTACCGAGAAAGGTTGACTTACTACGGAATGGCATTAACTCCTGCAAGGCTCCTCCTTGCACTAGTAGAAAAATACAGATATACATGTCAGATATACACATGTCAGATATACACATGTCAGATATATATATATGTCAGAAAGATATATTGGCAAGGTTGGGTCAAGCTGAAGAGAAGGTGAACCGTTGGGTTTCTGTTTCGCAACCAAATTTTTGCTGATGAAATTGAAAAATCAGTCAAAAGGCCCCTAAAACCCCTATCTTTTTTTAATTCCAAAGATACTCTCAAAAAAGTAAAGATGGCCTTCTCAATCAAAGATGGTCTTCAAGAAACCAAAGAAGGTCTTTGACCAAAGTTGGACTTCTTCAAAAAACCAAAGCAGGTCTTCAAGAAACCAAAAATGGTCTTCTTCAACCAAAGAAGGCCTTAAAAAAACCAAAAATTGGTCTTTTAGAAAAAAGATTGGCAGCGAAAAACAAAGATGTTATTCTTCAAAATGGCTTCAAAAAAACCAAAGATGACCTCCCTAAAAATGGTCTCCTTTTGGATGGAATTTCCCAACGGTTCCCTTCTGGCTTGACCCTTTTAAAGATCCTTTTATTAAGCTGCAACCATCATTCGAGTTCATACTAAGAGAGAAAAATAGGAAGTAAAGATTATTATATTTTATGCTTTCAGTTTTTTGGAAATTTCTGCAAAATATTCAACACATACTCCAAGCAGACTTCAACTGGTAAGTTACATATATTTTGTAATGTTCAAATTCTCCATAGTGTAATGTTCAGAGTACCAGTGTAATGTTCAAATTCACAGTGTAATGTTCTTTTTGAACAACTTTGAACTGTGAAATGTTCAAAGACAAAGTGTGATGTTCAAGTACCAGTGAAATGTTCAAATTCACAGTGTAATGTTCAAATTCACAGTGTAATGTTCTTTTGAACAACTTTGAACTGTGAAATGTTCAAAGACAAAGTGTGATGTTCAAGTACCAGTGAAATGTTCAAGTTCACTGTGTAATGTTCAAAGACAAAGTGTGATGTTCAAATTCACTGTGTAATGTTCAAATTCAGTGTCTAATGTTCTTTTTGAACAACTATGAACAGTGAAATGTTCCAAGACAAAGTGTAATGTTCAAGTTCACCATGTAATGTTCAAGTACCAGTGTAATGTTCAAGTACCAGTGAAGTGTTCAAGTTCACTGTGTAATGTTCAAAGACAAAGTGTGATGTTCAAATTCACAATGTAATGTTCAAATTCAGTGTCTAATGTTCTTTTTGAACAACTATGAACAGTGAAATGTTCAAAGATAAAGTGTAATGTTCAAGTTCACCATGTAATGTTCAAGTACCAGTGTAATGTTCAAGTACCAGTGAAATGTTCAAGTTCACTGTGTAATGTTCAAGTTCACTGTGTAATGTTCAAAGACACCATGTAATGTTCTTTTTGAACATTTTTGAACACATTGGTGCTTAAATTTAGCTGCTGATTTGGAAAGTTGCTGCCCACAATGTGGCTGCTGATGTGATAAGGTTCTGTCCGCATTTTAACTACTTATTTAAAGAGTTGATTTAGATTAAAGCCAGTATCAGGTTTTAGAAAATTCATCTTAAAATATGTGTTGAGTTTTGCAGAAATTTTTTTTTCCTCTTCTGCAGGATTTTAGATTATTGTAAAAAATATAAAAAAAATAGTCAGATAAATCAAATAGTTTCAAGAGATAGTTTTAAAAAAAAAAGGGGTCAAGGGGTTAAAGTTCATGACCTCCCAAAAATTAAATCTGAAAGTGACACTAATTTAGAGGGATAACGAAAAAAATGGTAATTTTTTTTTTGCTATAAAAAAAAATGAAAAAAAAAATGAAGGGGGATTTTGCGATTATTTTCAAATGTATTTTTAACCAATCGTGTGACGTCGATTTATTTGCTGCGGCAATCATTTTCATTCAGAATTAGACTTGTTTCGAAACATCAAACATGGAAAGCTTGCCACGAAATTTCGACGAAAAATAAACCACAACATTGCAACAGTTAAACAAGAAAAAAACACCGAAAGACTAAAAAGAGAGAAAAATAGTCATTGCCAAAAATGAGTTCCGGTACCAAAAGCCAATCAAAAAAACACCCAAAGCCGAATGTCCACGAACACAGATAAAGAAATTTTTGTTTAGAAAAATTGCGCCACAATAGGAATTTTGCCACGTTTTTTTTTTTTAACGTGGCAAACAACATTTCTATTCACTACAAATTAGGAAAAAAAAACGAAAAAAATTTGGTGAAAAATGAAAAAAAAAGAGGAGAGGTTTTCAACTATCTCTGTTACCTATTCGATTGACCTTCACGTCTAGCGAACCTTGATGATTGTGTTTGATGGCGTTCATCCTGCGATTCTGGGCTCCTCCAGGCCCACCGCCTCCCATTGGTTTAGGTCCTTTGGGTCGTGGTGCCTCGACTGGTAAGACTCTCCTACGTTTTTTGGGTAGTTTAGAGCGTGCTTGAGTATGTGAGTAGAAGAGAGCAAAGTTGCTGACGATTACAGGAACGGGTAGAGCTATGGTCAACACACCAGCTAATGCACATAGAGCTCCCACAAACATCCCTGCAAAGAGAGAAACAGTTCTGGATTATTGGCGTTCGATGACAGGGAAAAAGCATCCTTGGAAAGAGAAACAGTTCTGGATTATGTGTGGCATTAAGGGTCATGCTTGGATCATTGGGTTCAAGCGTCCTTGGAAAGAGAAACAGTTCTGGATTATTGACGTTCAATGACAGGGAACATTGGGAACAAACTTCCTTGGAAAGAGAAACAGTTCTGGATTATGTGGCATTTAGTGTCATGCTTGGATCATTGGGTTCAAGCATCCTTGGAAAAGAGAAACAGTTCTGGATTATGTGGCATTTAGTGTCATGCTTGGATCATTGGGTTCAAGCATCCTTGGAAAGAGAAACAGTTCTGGATTATGTGGCATTTAGTGTCATGCTTGGATCATTGGGTTCAAGCATCCTTGGAAAGAGAAACAGTTCTGGATTATTTGCCTTCCTGTTTGGAGAATAGGTTCTAAGCAGATTTTCTGGTGTTCCGTGTGGTGCCAAGATCAAAGAGTTCAAGCTGATTTTTTGGCGTTTAGTGTCCAAGCATCATCATATGGTACAAAAAAACCAGTTTTGGATGATCTGGCACGAACAGCTCAAGTAGTAGTGGATTATTGGGAGCTCTTTAAGATATCCAAAGTAGTATACTTACCTACATATGTCTTTGGTGCCATATCTCCATAGCCTACGGTAGTCATGGTAACGATAGCCCACCATAAGCCCACAGGTATGGACTCAAAGTCATTTTCGGGGTTGTATTGGATTTTTTCCGCATAGTATATCAGGGCAGCGAAGATCACAATACCCAAGACCAAGAAAAAGATGAGAAGAATTAGTTCCTTTGCACTAGCCTTGAATGTATGGATCAGGATTTTTAATCCTGCACTATGCCGCGTGAGCTTACACAATCTCATGATACGAATAATACTAAAGAATTCTAAAATGTCACTTTCTTGCTGAAGCTTGGTCAGCATAAAATCTAAATAAAAAGACAAAGTGGCCACTATGTCAATGATGTTCACAGGAGCCCGTAAAAAATCTAATTTCGTAGGGGCCACGATGAAACGTATGATGATTTCAAAGGTAAACCAGGCGTTGCTAGCACACTCGATATAGAAGAACGCTTCGTGCGGTTCCGTTTCTTTTTTCTGTAATCGCCAAGTGGTGTTGCCGTCGGCCATCTTTGATGTGGTGTTGAATAAGACGGGGACTCGCATGTCAGGATGAGTCTTCAAACAAAAAGATAAGATGGAGATAACTATGAAGAACACTGATATAACTGCTATAATCTGAAAAGAGAAAAACGAAAAAAAAATGGTCAGACATTCGTGGCTTTAGAATTCAAATTTGTACAAGCAAATTTCGTTAATCAAAATCTCGTTCAAAGACTGGCAAATTTGAGAGTACAATTGTTTAGTACCATCAAGTGTTTCCGCCAATCAAAAAACTCGTTCAAAGACTGGCAAAATTGAGAGTTAAAATTGCATAGTACCATCAGGTGTTTCCGCCAATCAAAAAACTCGTTCCAAGAATGGCAAAATTGAGAGTTAAAATTGCATAGTACCATCAGGTGTTTCCGTCGATCAAAAAACTCGTTCAAAGACTGGCAAAATTAACAGTAAAAATTGTATAGTCGTGGTTTCCTCCAAAGAGAAGTACCATTAGGTGTTTTGAAAAGAGTAAGCAAGGCAATTCTGCCAATCTAAATCTCGTTCAAAGTATGGCAAAAGCAGGAGTAAAAATTGTATAGTCATGGTTTGCTCCAAAGAGCAGTACCATCAGGTGTTTTGAAAAGAGTAAGCAAGATATTCCGTTGATCAAAATCTCGTCCAAAGTATGGCAAAGGCCCAAGTAAAAATTGTGTGGTAGTGGTTTCCTCCAAAGAGAAGTACCATCAGGTGTTTCGAAAAGAGAGATACAATCAGATCAATTTATGCCTGACCAAACAAATCAGCCAAAAAACAGCTAGCCAACGGCATTTGTGTCCAAGAACTTTTTCATTGACAAAATGACTGACAGTCTCGACTGTTCTGTCACTTTGATTTTGTCAATTCTAAAAAAAAAAAAAATAAGCCATAAGACTAAAGCCATATTATGAAAAAAAGACGTCAATTTTTAAAAGTAAGCCAAGGCCAGTTGTGTCCAAGTCTTTTTTCATCGACAAAATGACTGAAAGTTTCCACTGTACTGTCATGTTGATTATGTCAATTGATAAAATGAAGAGAAAATCTAATCAAGGAAACAAGCGTTATTTGATTAACAACCAATAAGAATCAATATCAACATTTGTCTCTGACCACAGGAAGTAAGGTCATACTTGTTTCACAGTGATAATAAATCAACCTGAAATTCGACCGACAAAACTCGAGTTTTTCTATTGGTTAATTTATCACACCCTTGATATTCAGCAGACGGCGTAGTTTTTCGTTAAATATTTGGCGTAGTGATTTTAAACTTAGTCCAAAATAGAACATATTTTGTCCATTTTTTTGGGGACAAAATTGCTGCAGGATTCGAGTTTTCCCATTGGTTAATTTAATGCATCCTTGATTTTAGCAGACGGCGTAGTTTTTCGTTGCATATTTGGCATAGTGATTTTAAACTTAGTCCTTAATAGAACATATTTTGTCCATTTTTTTGGGGACAAAATTGCTGCAGGATTCGAGTTTTCCCATTGGTTAATTTAATGCATCCTTGATTTTAGCAGACGGCGTAGTTTTTTGTTGAATATTTGGCGTAATGATTTGAAAGTATGTCCAAAATGCTGATGTGATACTTGGAATACGCCATGGGAAAGTTGATCTGTTAGTTATGGATTAATTAAGCAAATTTATGATAGAGGTTGAAACCAACAAGCACAGGCTGAGGCGTTCATTTCAGGACACTGATTTTTGTAAGAAACAACTTAGGTTCACGAGGGTCCTTTCTACCATCTTTTCCTGGATTATCTGTACCCATTTACAGCTGGGTTGACTGGAATAATGAGGATCCTTTCTACCAGCTGGTCCTTGACCAAACCTCTTGGTATTGATCTTTCCCAGATTATCTGTACCCATTTACAGCTGGGTCGACTGGAATAATGAGGATCCTGTCTACCAGCTGGTCCTTGACCAAACCTCTTGGCAATGATCTTTCCTGGATTATCTGTACCCATTTACAGCTGGGTCGACTGGAATAATTAGGAAAGAGGAGATATTCCAAGTTACCAGATTTTCACTAGCTAACAGAGTTTAGAACCCGCGACCACCATTTGTTCTTCAAATTTAAGCTCTGATTGTGCTACAGTTGGTCCTTAGAATTGAGCTTCAAGATTCAAAATTGTGCTACTTTGCAATTCTTACTTTTATGGGTCATTTGCCTTCAGATAAAAAAAGTTCCACCTGGAGCCTCAGGACTATATCCAATAACCTTTCCATGACTTCCAAGGCCAAAGCATTTGACGGTTCCCTCAAGGTCTTTGGATGACGGCCATTGAAAGCATAGATTTTTTCTACTGCGCAAAAAGGAAGTAGGAAAGAGGTCACAAGAAGCCTCCAGACATCTTCATGGATAGATTTCTTTCAGAGTTTTTTTTTGTGGACTTTATTTGCCAAATGCGTCAAAAAATGATTTGACTGTTTTTTTGGAAGATTTTCCTAGTTGAAAAGTCCTACTTTGATTGAACTAATGATGACAGGTAAAGCCATGCAGTGTGCAATGAGGGAAATTTTGCCAGGACGGCGGCATAAGCCTACTCTTTTTCTATTTCCAACTGTCAAGGGATCTTTAATGTGTACAGCCTGTAGCACACGGGGCCTCGGTTTATTGTCCTACATTTCTGCAAGTGATTTGGCAAATGAGGACTGGCAACATCATGCAGTGTACAATGAAGGAATTTTGCCAGGACAGCAGCATTAGTCTCAAGGGATCTTTAACGTGCACAGCCTGTAGCACACAGGGCCTCGGTTTATTGTCCCATCCGAACGACTAGACGCTTTTTCCATTGTCAGCCCCATCTTCATAATGTCAAGCTTTTACAAACTGCATTAATGCCTTGACCTTTCTTGTTTCACCTAATGCTGTAATTTGATTGGCTTGTACAGCAGCAAATAGAGCCAATCAAAGCCCTTGACAAGATAGATGGCTTATTGTTGACAGACTTTCTGTTGAGAGCTCTGATTGGCTGAATTCGCTAACCTACAATCAAACCAAATCACTGCATTTACAAACTTCCATGATACTAGAAAGGTGACTATTGTAGTCAAGGTATAAGACAAAGTTCGTAATAGCTTGACATGGTGAAAACGCACAACCCCTGCATGTTTGACAAGGGAAACCAGTTTTAGTAATAAGTTTTGGATTACACTGGTGCTTGGATTCCCAGATACACCGCGATTTGTTTTTCTGGCTGACTGTAACCAGCTTACATGACAACAAGACCAAGTAACCTTTTGACCCTAGCGATGATGGAAACCTAATTACCAGTTATCCAGTTGCAATCAATATATATCAAACTCTTCCATAACATCTTAATATCTCCCTCTGCTGCCATCATTTTATTTATCAGCAAATCAACAAGATAGATTGAACGTTACAATGGAGATAATCACAAATTATGTCTTTTGGACGGCTCTTGTGGTGGGGTTCGTTGGTTTGAGGTCAGCTCTGATGACTTTTGGCAGTGTTTTCAAAGAAATTTTATCAAAAGCAGGAATAATCACAAATTTTGTCTCTTGGACGGCTCTTGTGGTGGGGTTCGTCAACTTTGAGGTGGTCATTTCAAAGAAATTTTATCAAAAGCAGGAATAATCACAAATTTTGTCTCTTGGACAGCTCTTGTGGTGGGGTTTGTTGGTTTGAAGTGAGCTCTGATGACTTTTGGCAGTGTTTTCAAAGAAATTTTATCAAAAGCAGGAATAATCACAATTTTTGTCTTTTTGACAGCTCTTGTGGTGGGGTTCGTCAACTTTTAACTTGATGGGGTATCCTAAGTCTTTTGGACATCTCTTTGTGAATTTGCAAGACCCACAGACGTCTGATTGAAAATTTGAATGGTGCAAATTGATGCTGTCAGTGTCCCTGATACACATAAAAAAATTTAGAAAACCACTTTAGGTTTTGAATTTCAAATATGACTCTCCTGTCTTAGAGTTAAAAATCATACGTTACCTTTGCTCCAGTAGATGAATAAGGCTCATCGAATAAAGCCCAAATTTTTGGTTGAATTCGTTGCCAACAATTTAATTCTCCCGATTTATATTCGTCCTCTAGACCAAACTTTTTCATGATATCCTCTTCCGTGGGTTTATCAGTGTCCAAATCAAGGCGGTCGAGTATGGTGAGGACATCTTGTGTATCTCGATGGCTGGTGTAAGTCATCCAGCAACACGGTTCAACCTGGTTGGAGTCCAGTCCCCAGAATTCTAACTCCTCCTCGAAAAGAGGTCCACACACGTCTGTCGGGTAGTGAAGTTTCCCTGAACGATAATAATTGAGAATTTGAGCGAACACGCCCGGATGTCTGTCGAAAAAATATTCGTTTAACACGGGGTCGTAGTTGGCTAACGCCTCGGTCAGCCTGGATAAGCGAGTAGCTGGAATTTTCTTCAGGGTGGCCTTATAAGTTTCGTGCCGGATGCCCCCTACGTTCAGTATCACACGATTGTCTGCATCAGACATATTACTCGAGAATTCCATATTCGACATTTTCGCGTTACTATGGAAACCCAATCTTTCCAAAAATAAATTTCTAAAATTTTACGCCCGTAAGCTTTGCCGTGTTTTGCTTGGCTTAAGAAATGATTTTGTCATGAACACTTTTTAAAAACACTCTTTGCATGCAGTTTTTTCACAATTCACTAATGTTGTAGTTCTTACACTATCATGTCAGATTTTATCATCCATTACCAAATTTTACACATCCATTTTGAACACCGTCTGCTCAAAGTCCTCCATATTGGAATTTTTCACAAAATGTAATGTCTGCCCATCAGAAATGTCCGAAAATCCAAGAAATTTCTGTCAGAATTTCTTCCGCTCATTTTGTGAAATACGTTTTTTATGTTTCATTTTTCTCCAATGTTAATCACCAATTTAATTTTGTGCGGAACTGTTAAGTTTGCTGCGAGGTATAAAATTCTGCTAACGACCATCTGTTTAATCTTTGGAATGCATCAAAATCTGAAAATAGATAGAAAAATAATATCAACAAGGTACCAAATAGAAATAAAACGAAAATTAAAAAGTTTTAACTTGCTGACCTTTTGTGCTTATACATTTTTTTTTAGGTTTGAGTATTTAGGGATTGTAAAGAGGTTTTGTAAATTTTTTATGTGTATCAGGGACACTGATAACATCAACCTGCACCATTCCAATTTTCAATCAGATGTCTGTGATTCCTGCAATTCCATTATAACCAAGTGTTTTGTGTATGCAATTGTAAAACACTTAGTTTTAGTGGAATTGCAGGAACCACAGACGTCTGATTGAAAATTGGAATGGTGCTAATTGATGTTATCAGTGTCCCTGATACACAGTTTCATATAAGTTGAAAACTTCAACACTGAAAAATCATACATATAGATAATCCATAAAAAGAATCAAAACACTAATTTTAACACTAAAACACTAACTTAAACACTAAGTAAATCTGTTTTCCAAAATGGCAGCAGTAGACTAAACCAATCTTCAATACATACATTGTAAATTGGTTGTAATTAGGAAAAATCAGTCCTAATAATAAATCCAAAAACAGAATCAAAACACTAATTTAAACACTAAAACACTAACTAAAACACTAAGTAAATCTGTTTTCCAAAATGGCAGCAGTAGACTAAAGCAATCTTCAATACATACATTGTAAATTGGTTGTAATTAGGAAAAAATCGAAGCCTTTAATGCAAGGTAAACATCAACATCAATAAAACATGTGTCAAGCTTGAGGCCACAACCTGTTAATATTTTGATGTAGGGAGCCAAGATTTTGCATCAGGCTTTTTAGCCGTGCTAATATTTTGCATCAGGCAGGCAATATTTTGCATCAGGCAGGCAAGATTTTGCATCAGGCATTCATGGAACCAAGATTTTGCATAAGGCTTTTAGCTGTGCCAATATTTTGCATCAGGCAGCCAATATTCTGCTTTTAGCTGTTCCAATATTTTGCATCAGGCAGCCAATATTTTGCTTTTAGCTGTTCCAATATTTTGCATCAGACAGCCAATATTTTGCTTTTAGCTGTTCCAATATTTTGCATCAGGCAGCCAATATTTTGCTTTTAGCTGTTCCAATATTTTGCATCAAGCGAGCAATACGTTGCTTTTAGCCGTTCCAATATTTTACATCAAGCGAGCAATACGTTGCTTTTAGCTGTTGTAATATTTTGCTCCAGAAGCCAATATTTTACTCCAAGCAAGCAATATTTTGCTTTTAGCCGTTCAAATATTTTGAATCAAGCAGGCAATATCTTGCATCAAACAGTCAATATCTTGCATCAGGTGTAGGTCATTAAAACTGTTACCATAGGAACGAAAAAAAAACCCAACTAAAATCCCATTATACTTCAGTCCTGTAAATCGAATATTATAACATCCAGTGCCTTAAAAATGTAGTTTTACTCACAGACAGCAGCTGTGGCCCAGTCAGTATTGATTATTATTATTATTATTATTATTATGTATTGCTAGTGATTATTATAGACCAAGCACCACTGTGAATAGCTTGACAGATTTATTGCCATGTTTAACTTTTATATTGGTTCATTAACCGGTGTTTATCAAACCACCTTAACCGACAAACCAACAACCTGCCTTGAGAATAGATCTGAAAATTTAGCTTTAAGAATAGATATAAAATTTGAGAATTAAGAATAGGTATGAAATTTAAGCATTAAGAATAGTTGTGGAGTTTAAGCATTAAGAATAGTTGTGAAGTTTGAGGATTAAGAATAGTTGTGAAGTTTAAGCATTAAGAATAGATCCGAAAATTAAGCATTAAGAATAAATCCGAAAATTCAGCATTGAGAATAGATCTGATAATTAAGCATTAAGAATAGATCTGAAAATTCAGCATTGAGAATAGATATGAACAAGAACATCAAGAATAGAAAATTGAACATCAAGAATAGACAATTGAATATCAAGAATAGAAAATTGAACATCAAGAATAGAAAATAGAACATCAAGGAATACAAAATTGAACATGAAGAATAGATCTGAACATTGAACATCAAGAATAGAAAATTGAACATCGAGAATAGAAAATAGAACATCAAGGAATACAAAATTGAACATGAAGAATAGATCTGAACATTGAACATCAAAAATAGAAAATTGAACATTAAGAATAGAAATTAGACCATCAAGAATAGAAAAATGAACATCAAGAATAGAAAATTGAACATCAAGAATAGAAAATTGAACATCAAGAGTACAAAAATGAGCATTACGAATAGATGTGGAAAAAAAGTGTTCAGAATAAATAGAAATGAGAAGATAATGAATGAAATGAGTGTTAAAGTAAACTGATCTAACGCCCTGCGTTTAAAAGTGTGTTCTGTAATTAGGTTGGTATTGTAGTAGTGTTGGCCACGAATCAAAATAAACACTTGTTCATCAGTCAGTGTTCTAACGGTACATTGTTTCTTATTTTACTCTCAAGTAGATAATGACATTTAGAAAACATTTGTCTTCCAATTACCTGATATACTGTAGCAGCGACGGTGGGGGTACAGGAGAGGGGGGTGGGGAAATGGTCTGTGGGTATGTATTGTCCCCCAGAAAAACAGTTTGTGCCCCACTACTGGCAAAATAGCAGTTTTCATACTTCCAATAAGCCATTTACTGTAGCGATGCCAGTGGGGGTACATCAGAGGGGGATGGAGGGGGGAAATGGGCTGTGGGTATGTAATGTCCCCCCAGAAAAATAATTTGTGCCCCACTACTGGCAAAAAAGTCAGTGTACTCATATACTGTAGCGATGCCAGTAGGGGTACAGGAGGCCGGGGGGTATGTATTTGTCCCCCCAGAAAAATAGTTTGGGCCCTTAATTGTACCCCTTGTACCCCCCACTTCCTTTCTGAGGAAGGACATCTCATGGCAGGCTAGTGCCCATGTAATTCCACATTTTGGAATCTAAATCCCAAAGGTTGTCCCCCCTATTAAGTTAGTTTGTACCTCCAGTCCAGTTGGCTGCTACAACCACTTCCTGAATACTACTGTAAAATTAGGTACACCTTATGGGAAAGGTTCAACCAATCATACCTTAGTTTTAGAAACTGGAATTTTTTAGCTAAGCCAATCAGTAATAGTGTTCACAGCTCACTGGGCTGTGGGTATGTATTGTCCCCCAGAAAATAGTTTGTGCCCCACTACTGGCAAAATAGCAGTTTTCATACTTCCAATTAGCCATTTACTGTAGCGATGCCAGTGGGGGTACATCAGAGGGGGAGAGGGGGGAGCCCAATGGGCTGTGGGTATGTAATGTCCCCCCCAGAAAAATAATAAGCCAATCAGTAATAGTAAACAGCTCACTGTCAAAATTTTAAAGGTTAAAAAGAAAATATTTACGTATATTCAAGACCCAAATCAACCTCTGAAAGTGGCGAAAATGTCCCTTTAAAGTCTCATGGTTGCTGAAAACTTGTTTTATTACTCAACTCTTTGATAGTAGCAGGAAGGATTCCATCTTGGCGCTAACAGTTTTAAAGTTCACAAGTCACAGATGTTTGCGTGGGTTTCCTCAAGAATGATTGTGAAATTATTTTTCTATTTGTTATTTTAATTGGGATAGTGTTAACTTGTAGATTTGTTTTGAATGAAAACAAATTTCATTGGGTGATTATTTCAATGGTGTTTAGTAAACAACTGATGGTGCATTAAAGGGATTGTAAAGAGGTTTTGTAAATTTTGTATGTGTATCAGGGACACTGATAGCATCAATTTACACCATTCTAATTTTCAATCAGATGTCTGTGGTTCCTGTAATTCCACTAAAACTATGTGTTTTGAAGGGAGGTTTTCTAAATTTTTTTATGTGTAACAGGGACACTGATAGCATCAATTTGTACCATTCTAATATTCAATCAGATGTCTGTGGTTCCTGTAATTCCACTAAAACTAAGTGTTTGATGATGATGTTACTTTCAAAAATGCTAATAGTAAGCTCTTTGGTGTTAAAAACCATTTAAAAAAACAACAGCTAAACTTAAAAAACTGTAGGCATAAACTGAAAAACTTTAGGCATTAGCTTGATAATTTTAGGCGTTAGCTTGATAAATTTAGGCATTTGAAATGAAAAGTCTTTGGTGTTAAAGACCATTGAAATAAGTGAAATCTTTTCCACCTTGTAAATGTCTTTTATAAACAATGGCCGCAATAAGTAATGTCTATTTTTATTATCTTAGCTTGTCTTGTAAATACTTAATAGAGAATCGCAGGATTTTAATTTCCCTTGAGATTCAGTGCCATTAATACTACATGATTGTATAGTAGATGGTCACTGGCGCTGGCCTGAATGGGTTCCAAGACTCTTTCAGATGCCAGAATCAATTATGTTCGTTAACAAAGATATGCTTCCGTAAACAACTTAACAAAATACAATGAGAAACTACACAGGGGCCTTTAAGTCATGTGCTTTAAAGGGATTATAAAGAGGTTTTCTAAATTTTTAATGTGTATCAGGGACACTGTTAGCATCAATAT